TTTGGGAACGTTGCTGACGTGTGGAACTATGTAACACACAGCTTTTGGCCAATAGTACCATACAATAAGTGACAGGAACAACACGGAGAAGGAGAAAGGGTTAGGTCTTGTTTGGACAGAAAATGGTCGAAATGGAGCGTATGAAAGTGACAACCAAGCAGTCATCTTGTCGTTGGAGGTTTTACCTTTTTTTATGAAACTGACATAAAGTCATGGACAGTAAATACTTTGACCACTGCTGTTTTTCTACTGTGTACTGGAAAAAATTTAACAAAATTGTTGACTTAACCCATTTTTATAGAAGTCATGCATATGTATATTTGTGTCATCGGTGGGTCGGTAGGTTATCATCTCACTCGTCGGAAATAAATATCCTGAAGCCGTAGTGTGTCCAGAGTCTATCATGTAGAAACCTCCTTTCGGGTCCAACATCTGCCAGTTTTTTATCAGCGCTAGCTCGGCTCTCGCTGTTTCCGGTAGGCCATTGTTGGCCACTCTGCATTGTTGTCTTTACTGCATGGAGGACGGACGGTTGTTGTATTATTCAAGCAAATGAGAGGATGAATTTGAATTGAATGTAGTCGTATGAGACTGGGTTGGCCAACTGGCCTGGAGAACTGGTTGGTTGGCTGGTTGATTATTCCCGTTGCCATTTTAATCACACAATTATTTCCACTTGGCTCGTTCTTCATCAGTCATCTCACCACTTTTCATTTCTCTTTTTTTTTGTACATTTGCTGAATTTACATAATCAGGGGTATTAATGAAACTGAAAGGAAGAGAAGAAGGGGTGATGGTTCAAGAGGATGGTTAGTTCTGTACAATGAGAAATTCTCTCATGTTGAGTCAAAGTTGGGAAGAATCAACTCGACTTTTTTGACGTTGAGAATAATCTCCATTGTTTTTCTTTCAATGGAGCATGACAGGGATGATAATAATAACGTCTATTTTTTCATGGACCATATTGCATAGGCTAATTCTAAATAAGTTTTATAGGCTTTCTCCCCCAAGTAATTACATGGTGCACCGGTTGGAATTCTGTTGTCTCATCTTGTCCCAAATTATCTGTTAATGACAAAACGAAGTTTCCTTTAAAAATGGAAACAGGTTGGTATTTTATGTAACGAACGCTTTACATGTTTGTTACCATTGTTAAGAATTTTTTGAAAATGAGCTCAAAGTTGAGTCACTTATCTTGTCAAGGCAGAATCAGACTCGTGATTAAAGTGATGCATACATATTTCAGTTAGAACTGGAGCAATTTCTGAATAATTTTTATGTAGAAGTAGAAACAGGCCATTGTTGAGCTGTGTCTTCATCAGAGGCAAACTAACCAAACCACGGGAAATTGATCCAAAAAACGAAAAGTGCTCATGAAAAATCGAAATAACTGGACGATAATAACCTGCAGAAGCTCGGTGGTAGGTGGATGATGTTGATTTTGACTCCAATTTTTGATTTGAGGTTGATTGCTTTCTCGTTAAAATGTGCTCTGTCTGTTATTTGTATAGATTGATGAGGATAATGCATGGTTAGTTGTTTTACTTACTGTACTTATTTAGCCATGAATGAGCCACGTACGTGTTTCTCAGTCAGTCAGTTTTCACTTTGCGTGTTTTGTGAGAAAGAAAACCTTTATCATTGGTAACAATCTGCATTTTCATTTTTTTTAAACGTTTCTTCATAACAAACTGGCCAAGTCAGTGCACAAAAATGCTTCAGGTGAGGTAAGTAACTAACTAGCAGCGCCAGCCAGCAGGTCCATTATTGGCATTATGTTATTTAATTACTGGGTTGGAGAAGGTAGGGTATAAGTTAAGTTAAGCCCTCCTCCCACCCACCAGCGCAGTGCTCAACTGCAGTAGGAAAGAAAGTAGTACGATAACGTTATTGAATTTTTGAAGACATGAGAACAACACAGTTTTTGACTTGTTTTTGACTGATAGAATTGTAACTTTGAAATGAAATACCTGAATGAAAATGAACAAGTAAAGACAACAAATGTTTGCTCACAAGAGAAGTAGACTTGACCAAACGTATAATACGGACTCCCGTGGCGTTGTGGGTGTGGGATTTGTCGGTTTCTGTAATTATCTGCTTAGCAGGACTTCGACTTTTCTACGCCACCATGTTTATCAAATGTATGTATGTACAAAATGCAGATCAGGATTCCTAATTTCAGGCCAAAGTCAAAACAAACAACTTTGTTTCGTGAATTTGACAGGATTTTTAATAATGGAAAATTTTAATTAAGTCGTTTTCGTATGCACATGAAGTCGTTAATAAGTTTTCCCATTTTATTTTTCACCAATACGTAAATTCCGTTAGATTAGATGATGCGAAATGAGGTTAATTTTCTATTAATTTAAAATATGCAAGAAATGTTGATAAAAATTATGATATTATTTACTCGTCTAATTTTACCTGTAACATTCACCCGAATTAGTGATTAATTAATGTTTAATATTTCAAAAACATACTTGTTTCATGCCTAAAATGTGGTAAACACACAAAGCAAAATTAGATCATACAAGATGAGGATGGGTAATTAAGACGGAAAAGAAAAAGTCCACGCCCGATCCACGAAATAATATTTCCTTGCCTTGAAAACAATGTAACGAGACCCTGATATGAAATGAGACCCTTAAACCCTACATAATTCTCCCACCCCATCAACTTAACCAACCCTTATCCTTGGTGCTATGCATTTCCTTCTTGTAGCTGTCTTCGTGTTGGGTCTTCAAAGTCAAAGATTTGTAGAGTGTAAATAGTAAATACTAATAAGAAAGTGAGTATTTAACGAGGAAAATGAAATATTCATCTGCCTGCCTACCTGCGAGAGATAAGGCTGTGTTCATTTTCAAAATATTACCACACAAACAATGTCCAGTCTGCCAGAAGAAGAATTATTTTACTCTGTCTTATAACAAACAAGGAGGTTGTCTGCTCCCATCTCCATTTTAATTACGGCGTATCCACCTCTTCCCATTTTTAATCACTCCCTTCAACGACCCTCCGAGCACTCTTGTCGACTTGCTTTGAATTCCAAGTTCTTCTTTCTGTGGAAGAAATAAGAATCATCATAATTGGAAGAATATCTACGTTGGATGGACAGCAGGAGCAGAATTTCATATCGTTTTATGTACACGAAAAACAAGTGGTGGACATTTGGTAAAAAATATTATGCAGAAATTTTGGAAGTATTTAAAACTTTAGTTAAATACATTGGAGAGGAGGTGCCAGCCATGAAATGTCAAAAATTCTGTAAATTTTGAGGGACATTTCTGGCTTGTTTTGCATTTTCATGGATGGACGAATAAAGCTACATAATACGTTGTGAATGTAATACGGAGGATTTGATGGGATTTGCTTTAATCAACAAAAGTTTTAATAAGATTCATTCCGGGTTGACTGGAATTTTAAACGTGATGATTTTGACTCGAGATATGACTGCGGAACATGTTGGATGGGATTGGTCTGTTGTGAATCATTTTCTAATCCGTATGAGACCTGGAGTGAAGAATAAGGTGGATGAAAAACAAGATAATAATATTTCATAATTGATTCCACCCGGATTAATTAGTCCAGGCTAATCAGAAAGAGACCGAGAAGTGTGGTTGGTTGGTTGGTTGGTTGCGGTGGAAAGAGATGAAGATGATAAGATGAGAGGATGAGACATCTATGCAATTAGTATTTTTGATCATTTTGATCCCAATCTTGTGTAGGAAAAGGGGAACATGGTCCTTCATTTCTAATCATGGAGGAACTCGTTTGTCTGGATTCCAATGTATTGGGTTGGATCGGTTTGATTTGGTTCAATCGAAAATGAATGACGTGGCTTTAATGCCAATAATGGAAATTGATTACCAATAGCAAACTATTAACATTGGAAAACTGACATCCAAATTTTTGGAATCAGTCCATCATATTTTAGCATTCTGAAGAAAAATGAAAATATGGGCATGATTTTGAAAAATGATAATCGGACTTTTTCCGTCTCCTCCAATCTCATCTGATCTCAGATCAAAATCTCGTGATGAGATTCTCATCGCATGTGAAGACATTATTTTCTGGAATAATTTGACCTAAGTCAGTTAGTAAATAGCGTAAAAAAGTAAAAACAACGACGAAAAGTAAGTGGGCAGCAGTTGGTCCACAAGAAATTACAATTACCCACACATATCTAAAACACTATACACCCAAAGAAGAAAGCTTATTTACATAGTAGAAAAAGGTGATTGAGATAATTATGGGTCTACTTTCTTCATGGATGGAGGGCTTGTTGTCTCCAGCGTCGTAATTTATTCACTTTTCGAGATACTTTTTGGGAGCATTGTACATATCGATATTTTACACTAATAACAAGGCAGCAGCAATGAGTGAGATGGTTGAAATATCATATCATGAAGTTTGCTAATATTTGGTTGTTTGTACCTTAAATATTATTCATCATCTCTCTCATGAAGTTGTAATTATGTACACTCAAGTATTTACACGAACTTCAATCGTAAACCTTATTTATATAGTTTTTCTCGTGGAACCAGTACTTACTTACTACCAAACTTTTTAATTTTATGCGAGACCTGCATATTTGAAAGGATCAATCATCACCCAATTTTGGCAAAGATTGAAACTATACACCAAAGCCGATGTTCATTTGCATGTTAACTAGACAAGTTTGAAACTAGTAATTATTATTATTCACATTGCAAGTTTTATAAAAGAGGAGGGAAGGGTAGGAAATTCCATCGCTTTGACGGTGGTCGAGTTTTAATCATGTTTTCATAAGGAATCATTGAAGGCAAATAATGGTTGGTTGCACAGAGTTCAGGTTCACACAGTGCAATTAAATATTGAAACCAGTTTAGAATTAAATTAGAAAAAGTAAATTGAGATGTCAATTTTGAAAATTTGAAGGCGAAGGGAGTAGCTAAAGAGTTTTAGTCTGTCATTTGTACTAACCATAAAATAAACTTAACTACTGGGTACTAACAATCACAAACTGTGTGAAAAATCGAGGTTTTATTTCGCTGTTTCAAAAATTATAATTGTTTGACAACATACATGCTGCTCGTTGACCTTTTAAAATGGCTTAATGTGTATACAATTGAGGCATGCTTATATATTTTTTAACAAGCTCATTATTAATATTTTAGAACCATATGTAAATGGTTAAATGGTTAATTCAGGTACAATTTAAGTTACAAAAGTCATAAAAAACGGAAGCATTGAAATTGAATATTTTAGGACAGGTCATCCGCTCCATCCAACGGAATTGTATCAAGTAGTTTCATTTATAATGAACAAGTTATGAAGTAAGGGATCGTAACTATAAGAGTCAAGCGTAATCTGAATTTGGTATACATAATCAAAATGCAACTCCATTCACTTTCATAGATTTTCCTGGTATCGCATTCTCTTGTAATTCAGAAAATTCTACCTGTATTAGAAAATTGTGAGCAACTGAGCATAGCTAAAATTGAAAACACTTCTCATAAACGTATGTACTTACTTTCACAACTTCATTAGAAGATGCTAAATGTGCTACTATAAAGCTCTTGGACGTATGACCCCACACATACTCTCCACGTCTCCCGTCCCACCGAATTCCTATCATACCCACGTTTTTTGTCTCCTTGTGACATTTTAATAATTCGTTACCTGCAAAAAAGAGTACGTACATGCATATTATATAGAATCCAAACATAATCAAAATTTGAAAAGGAAACATTCATAGCTCACTAATAAATTCTTTTTGAATAACGGTCGATACAGCATCAACTAGTCCCAAGCAGGCTTTACTTTCGACACATTTCGATATACATTGTGGCAAATGACTTTTGGCAAGCATTTCACCAGAACCTGAATTTTATCGTTATTGTGTTAGTTTTACGTAAAACTTATCGACACTTGTTATTAAACAGCTTACCTGAACAGCTTACAGCAATAGCATTCTTATCTTTAGTATTATTGTGAGAAAAACATCCACAACCGAATACGGGTGCCTACGATTTAGATATTACATACGATATTAGACAAAGCATTATTACTTTAAATATTAACTTAGCATGAAAATTATAATAATCACATGTCCAACTCTTCCAGAGTGCTTTAGCCAATTTCCTCCACTCGACACTGTTGATGCAACGTTTCCAAATTTGTCAAGGGCAATGGCCCCAACGGTATCACTGACTTCCGAACTCATAGATTCTTCAGCCTTCTGCATTTTTTCAATGTACTTCTTGTACACTTTCCGGTTTCGATCTGATCAACGAATAAACAGTTGTACAGATATTGCTAAAACATATTGGCTTCAAAATATAAACTTACCTGAAACCATTAAATTTTCATCACACGTTGGAATTCCATTGGATTCAGCCCATGACTTGGCCCCCAAACCAGAAAGACATCTATTACGCAGTAATAAGAATAAAAACATTGGTTTCTCAAGGACATTCAATGTAATGTACTATTAAATTAAAAGTTCTTACGTCGGAGGAATTCTGCCACACGAAAGTAATGGTTCTTCTCGATGAAGGTCCGCAATTTTCTTTGCAATTAATATAGGATTTGGAACCCCAGGAACAGCAGCCACTCCACCAAAATATCCGCTCCCGTTCATAAATCCTGCGTCGCATTCTACGGTCTGATCAATTGTTAAACTGGAACCTTGTCCAGCGTTTACAAGTTTTGAATTTTCCAAAAAGATTGTGGCCACTGCTACAGCTTCGTCCGCTGATCCGCCACTCAGTAAAACCTTCATTCCCTGGTGCAATCACATTTTAAGTTTTAATTACAAAATATAGCATATACTACGACAAATCCAATTGATTTTCATTGATTGAATCAATGCACAATTCTACAGAACGTGAAATGGCAAACCTCTTGACAGCTAGTTTTACAAAGGGATTTATACAAATCCCTTTTATTTACTGTTAAGTTATGGTCTCCGGCACCTGTGACAGACAAAAAAAGTTACTTCAACTTTATAATTACATACAATTTACACATAATATTTACTATTGCAAAATGGGATACCTAAATGGATCGCAATAAAAGCTTCTGACGATCGTTTCGTTTTCTTTGGCCGTGGTTCATTTTTCCTTAAAGCTGTCACCGACTGAGTTCTAGGTTTGCGCAAAATTCCTGAACGCGTATATGTTTCCTGGCCATTATCACTAACTGCACCATTAACTTTGGGATTCCCTTCCGGTTTGTTCATTGTTGCACTTGTACTTCTTAACGTCTAAATGTGAAATTAAACTTAAATTAATTAGCTCAAGTCCAAATTATTGACAGAAAACTAAAAAATGTCAGAGATGTAAAAACAGTGTTGTGTTTGTTGTCGCATGGAAAAATATTCCCACCACAAACAACGGGGAGACTTGAACAAGAATCTGATTTTTGATTCGTGTGCTGCTGCTGATTTTCGAGTTGTTTAATTTCATATTTCAATCAACTAATTTTAATTGAAATAAATACTTATAATCATTCAATTCCCTGAAATTGATTGGCCTGCACTCTCCAGTAACCTCCAGTAACCTCTGTATTATCTCATTCTCGATTTTCAACGGTAAGTTTTATTTCTTTGTACTTTATACTTCTTTGTTTATAAATTATAAATTATAATTTATCAATTTATGGACATTTTATACAAATATCTACAAAATTCATTTTCAGAGTGTGTGATAAACTCCAATCTTATTATCAACCAATCCTTTCAGTTTGCAAGGACAGGCAAATGATGTAAACGTAAGTTTAATATCATTTTTATCAATCAAAGTTTTACTTTCCAACCTATTTGTTCAAATCAACAAAATTATCTTGAAATTCAGGTGAATTTGGAGTTATGGATGAAGTAAAACTTGAAGGGAAAGAACTCCTTCGAACTCTTCTTAACAAAACCCTTCGAATCAGACTAACCGACGGGCGCACTTTGGTTGGCCAGTTTCTTTGTGTTGATCGCGACGCAAATATTATAATTGGATCTGCTACTGAATATTCAAACGATCAGTTACAAGGTGAACCTAGAATTTTGGGACTGGCAATGGTTCCAGGTCGTCACGCCAAAGCCATTCAACTCAACAAACAAGTGATTTCGCTCGCTGAGATCAGTTGAAGAGAGAAGGGACAAAAAGACTAATAATTTATTTATTGTTAAAATAATATCCAAAGGATTCTTTCATCGTTTTATAACATACATAAATACCAAAATGGCCATGAATGGAACAACTCCAACAGCAGCACCATCACCAGGAACCCCTGCGACAGGGGTTTCAGCAACTCAAACAGGAGGAAGATACCGCACCGGCGAAGATGTCGACCCATTAACGGATGAAAGGACAGGATTAATTCGTGAAGTTGGGTGCCAAGCGATTTGGTCGTTGTCTTCGTGCAAACCGGGGTATGGCGTTGATCAACTACGGGACAGATCTCTGGATAATTATTGGTAAGGTTAATCATCAATTAGTGTTTGCAGCCTTTGTCTAAATGATTAATTTATTTTTATTCATGCAGGCAATCTGATGGACAACTGCCGCACTTGGTCAATATCCAATTCCGAAGAAAAATGACTATTCGTGACGTTTGTGTCTACACTGATTTCAAATTGGACGAGAGTTATACGCCGAGCAAAATTTCAATTCGATGCGGAACCCATTTCAACGACCTTCAGGAGATCGAGTTGGTAGAGTTCAATGAGCCCAGTGGATGGGTCCAAATCTTCCTCAAAGATATCAAAGACAGGCCAATTCGTACATTTATGATACAATTAGCAGTGCTAAGTAATCATCAAAATGGTCGCGATACTCATTTGAGGCAAATTAGAATCCATTCTCCTATAGATAATCTTCCTGTATCTGCCTTTCCTGGATATTTTACTTCTGAAGCTTGTAAAAAGTTTGCTTATCTTCGGTAATTTATTAGCTTTTGTGAGTATAATTTAACCGACCATTTATAAATAAAATGAAATATTATAATAAACTGTCTCATGAAAATCTTGCTGCATTGTTTGTACATATCTTTGATCTTTTCTAATAATAAGATTTATTACATGAATTTTGTAATCTTAAACATAAACATAATGTCACATGTTGTTTATCTCTCTGTAAAAATCGTAAATTGACTAGGAAATTTTTCTACATCTGATATTTCAATTGTAGAATCCATAATGTCGAGACTGTCGTTATTATTCCGTTCCATGTGCAACATGCATGGAAAGCTTCCAAATATTCTTTAATTCATTGAATAATAATAATTCTTAAAATGCGGTTTTAAATATAATGCATTTCATTAAACTTCTTTCCTGGTGGGAGAGTTCCTACAATTGAAGCAGCATTGCCACGCTGAACTTTTCTTAGAACATAAGTACATTTAAGACCATTTGTTATAGTAGTGGTTAGAATTAGTAACAAAAATATTATTTTATTAACAAGTCAATAGTGTCAACAATTCTATTCATATCTACTCATTTATGTTCAGTTATGCATGTTTTTTGACGCTTTATAAGAGACACCAGCGTTCCTAAAGATACTAAAACTCAGGTAATCGTGATTTTTCAATCCTTAAAATTATATTCATTCTAGAGTAAATTCATTGAAATTATTTATGCATATGCAGAATGGAGTCCCTTTTACAAACTGAGGTATACGGCCAACCGTTCAGCACTCTCTGCATGGAACTTTGCATAAAAGATATTCACGAATCAACGCATGACTTGTTAAAAAAGTACCACCACAAGTCCATCACGTTTTCCCACAATACGCCTTCATGGAAATTTCCACACATCAGCATTTACAAGTTGGACATACTGCCAATCATTGAGAAATATCGGGACAAATCATTATCAGAATGTCAACAATATCAAGAACTCTTAGGATTGCTAGTTGACCGTGTATGTTTCTCTTTACTGACAACTTGTAATCTATTGGGGACAATGGACGAAAATAATGGAGCAAAAAGTACCGAAAATGGAGTCGGTGTTGCTGGGACTCACCTTGGTCAAGGCGATGCACCCCCCATGTCCCTTGCCCAATACAAGAATGCCATTAGTAACCCAGTCGAAGCAACGAGTAACATCACTACCACCACCCACCCAAACATTGGTTTTCTGCTGAAGCAACTTTTCGACACGGTAGGAACCTTACTTTACGCCCGGACCCTTGACAAACAAAAGTCACGAAAGGATAAAGCTGCCGTCAAATCCAACAAGTGTTGCTCAACATCTGCACAAACGAACGAGTCGAGCAGTACAAGCTGCGAGACGTGTTTCGTGGCCTTGAATGTTTTAAAATTGCTGTCCACAATGATCACCCAGTGCTTGACGACTTTAACCAAAGCCCCCTCGGAAATATCCAAGCTAAAAAAAGATGGAGAATCCTTGTGGAACTTGTCACACCGAGAATTCCTCTACGAGTGGTGCCAAGCCGTTCAAACAGATTGCAAAACCTTGTTGGAGAAAGCGTCAAAAATTTTGGAAGACAAATCTACCCTTCAGAAGCAGTATAATGAAAGCAAATCCATGCTTGAATCAGAAACCAGAAAACTGACCAACATCACAACTGACTTGAACCGGAAGTTGAAACATTTTCAAGAGGTTACTGAAGCAGAAAAGAGTAAAAATGCAAACTTGGAGATGCAGATGCAATCCATGAGCTCAAACTCGGTCGATCTACAAAGTCAAATTAACAAAAAGTCAGAAGAATGTCGACATCTTGAAGCAAAAGTGGCACAATTAACAGAATCATTGGCGAAAGTGACCCAATGGCATCAACAATTACACGAAACCAACTCCTTATCCGAGAAAGTCAAATTAAACCTGGAACAGGAAGTGAAAGCATTGAAAGAACAAAAATCCAAGTTGGAAACTGATTTTGCCAGCACTAAAGCTCTCGTGGCGTCGAGGGACGAAGAAATTGAAAAACTGACCCATTCTTTGGAAAAGTCGAAACGTGAAGAGGTCAAGAAGGAAGAGATGAAAGGCCTGCTGGAGAAAGCAAAGAAACAGCTGGAAGCCTGCAAGAAAGTTGAAGAAGATTATAAAAAAGCTAAAATTACGGATAAAGTGAGACTAGAGAAATTAAAGGAGGAAGTGACCACGCAACAAGAGCAGATTGAACTGTTGACACTGTATCCTGATTTAAACGGTCCGATTAATCCACCCTCCGCGTCGGATGCAGATCATCCCCTCCAATCGATGTCAAAGCAAGTGAGGTCAAACCAGCTAAGGATTGAGGTACTTCAGGCTCAAACAGATCGACTGAAGGCGACCTTAGCCAAATGCAATATGGGAATGAATAGTAGGGTTCAATTTGCCGAGTAATTACTTAATTATCACCTTAATTTGATATTTATTCTATGTTTATTCGACACAAAAGTAAATAAAAGTGTGTATTAATGAAGAATTTTTTTCATGGTTTAAAATTTGTTTGTAATTATGATCAACAATTTATTTTGACTTGTCAGCAATATTAATTAGTGAATAGTACAGTAAAGTAAGTTAGTTAGTGTCCCTTTCTTCTTCCATGTTTCTTTTCCTGCTTCCGTTCTGCCGATGCTCGAAATCCTTGTCTGAAGAAAGAAAATGTCATAATATTTAAGAAGTTTTTTTTATATTTAATGTTAGAAATTAATATGTTGACTACATACCGGAGCATCCCTTGTGCATACACCTTGTCACTTTTAGATTTGATTTCTTCTCTGCTCAGGACACGATCATTGCCAAAAGTGCTTTGAATTCCAGTGTCATCATCGTCACTCATTTCTTCGTCACTTCCGGTACTGTACTGAGCCCCAAGTCGACAAGAATACCGGGAGACTGGAATTTTTACATAAGAGCCGTAATTTCTTTGGGGTTCCTCGTCAGGGTTGAACAAACTGCGAAGCTTGACGACAGAGGTGATAAGCACTTTCACCTTATCCAAGGCCAATTTTGCCAAGTCTAGGTAATTGCTTGGGAGCACAACGTTGGTTCGTTTCCCTTCTTGCAATAGATCTAAAAGTCCGATCAAAGCGCTGTGAAATAAGACGGCGTTTTTTCCTATCTTGTTAATCCCCTTATCGTTGTCGGAAGTTTGCCTTTGGGCTTCCAACAATTTGGTTTCTCTTTCCTCTGACTCTTTGTCAAACCTGGGGAATAACAGAATTTGTGATATTTCGATTTATTTTCCACGTTAAAATTTGTCTCTGCAATTTTACTCTTCCAATTTGACGCATCCAGTGTAAAACAAGTGATTCTTGATGAGGAGAAAGTTACTTTTCTGTTTCACAAGGGCTGTCAATGCAATCTGTCTTTGGCTTAATTCGTCCTGGAGGATGTGACGAAGCTTAAATACGGTATGAATCCTAACACGGAAACATAAAATAAGTTTTTATTTTGACAATGCAATACATAGTAATTGAGAAGCAGTACCTCTTTGGACAAAATCGCAAATCTTTGACACGCATTGCCTCCACAAGAACTCTGGCTTTATCTTCGAATTGTGCAACTGCAGCCCTTTTTTCCTTGAGTTCTTGTAAAGTTCCATAATCAATTTCTTGCGCTGAGGAGACAAGCAACGCTTTACTCTTGTTACTTCGAAGGTCAATTGGTGATCGTGTTTCCTGCGTCGCCGCTTTGTCGAACCGCTTTCGATTCCGTTTCAACTCCAATTCACACATTTTACGGATTTTGACTATTCTGTGGTGCCGAATTCTCCGATTTTCCGTGTACTCTTTCTCCTAAATTACGTATAATTTTAATGCTAAATTTTACTCATGGCAAGGAATTGTATATGTATTTACCGTCATCATAAGGCGATAATACGTAGTTTTCTTTAGCTACAAAATAAAAATTGGTGTTTACTGAACCAATTTGAGACTCGGAAAGCCAGTTAAATTATTACTCTTTTGGCATCATCCAACATGTTTTGTAAATCGTCTAACTCTTTTCTCAATTCCCTGTACGATTTCTCCAACTTGATAACGACGTACGGCCAAGTATCTCTTTCTCCTCGGAGTTGGTTCAGAATTTCCTTGAATTTTATATTGAGTGTGGAGACACAATCCTTCAAATCTGCAAAGATTGAGTTCGAAATGTAATTTTGACAATTTAAAAACAGTTAAAATTAGGCATAAATAAAACCTCCTCTTTGAGCAATGGCTACTCCAAGCTTTGTAAACTCTTGGATTGCTTGTTGCTCCCACGGCGTAGATCCTGCGTTTCATGGAATGACAACAAAAGTAGTTAATTGCTGATTTGTTGTTAAGAATGTAATTTCACCCACCAGGAAATGGCCAGTCTTCCAATTCAACCACCATGTGTTCAGCATCAGACAATTTAAGCTTGATCGATGTTACCGTATGAAGCTTCTCATCCAATTTTTTTCTTTGATCAGAAATCTGGTCATCCAACCATTCGTAAACCTGGGCAGGATTTTTACCCCTCAATGCCAACATAAAATACCGATGATTTCGCAGTGCTTTGACTGAAGCTGAAGTGCCGCTAGCAATAGCCTGAAATTAAGTCATAATGTCGCTTAATGATTGTACCAATTGGACGCATTATTATAAAATCCTTGAGGATTAAGTACTTCATTCCGGTCACGGTGCAAGAGTTCATTTTCATTCCTAAGATCTTCTATCATTTGATGAGCTCCTTTATGCGATTCGGTAACTTCCTCCAAAAGAGCTTTGTTATATCTCTCTGAAAGAAGTGAAATTAGAATTTAGTTACTAATTATTTGATACATGAAGCATAAGTTCTGAAATTATACGTTTCAATGAGATTTTTGCTCTCAAGTTGTCAATTTGAGTTTGCAATGGAAGATCTTCCTCATTGTCCACAAAGGCCTCTTCTGCATTGCTGGATTTTGGTCTGTTTGGATACCGCCCACAGGTGGACTTGTTTTGACGAAGGTATGACATTTTAAATTTTAGAATGGAAACAAAATTTCGACAAAACTGAGTTGGAAAACGAAGTGAATCAACTTCTGTAGTACTTACACGTCGACAAAAATAGATTTTCTAGAAACTAAAATTGTCCATTTCATCTTAACTGTCGTGTGGACAGACGCTAAGTTGTTATGACAGAAAAAATCGGCATTTAAAACCTTTTCATGCATCAATTTGCCTACGTAAATGCATATTTGGATTATGTTATGCAAACGATTCGTGTCTTTGAATTAAAAATTAATTCATGTTTTGACGCAACATGCATATTATGCAAATATTTGATGTGATAAAGATAGAAATTAATTATGAAATAACTTCGACATGCAAAATGACCACATAACTTTTGCCATAATTATGTCATTTTGTCAATATTTGGGTTACATCACCTTGCTCTATTACCGAATCGAATAAATATAGCTTTTTACAATTATATCAGTAGATGCGTAGATTTGGATTACATAATCTACCATAATTGAATCTGAATCATGTCATTCCTAAAATCTCGCCTGCCTGGGTACGAATTTCATTACTTTTTGCCTTTCTTCTTCTTCTTTCCAGTTTCCAATCCGCCAATTTGATTAGATAATCTTGCTTTTTGTAAGGGAGTCTGATTAAAAAATTTATTCCAGGCTTTATCCTGTTCCACAAAGACGGGATCATGGGTACTCAGCTCCTCTATGAATTGATCCAACCTAATCAACTTTTTCCCCATCGTGCTAACCCTTTTGCCCCCACTTTCCATAAGCATCCATGGCTCCTCATCCCGATACATTTTGTCCTTTTCTGCCTTTGCCAAAACCTTTTTGTGCGCACTGATGACAACGTCGACAACCTTTTTGATCTTGCCAATCGTCCAACCATCGGATAATTTGTTGAGGAGAGAAAAGTGAACGTCTTTGTGCATGTAGTCGGCAAATGAGATAAGCAAGTGACGCCAGATCTCCATACGAGAACCGTAATCTGGTCTTGGAATGTAAATCACTTTCTGGTAGTCTTTTTTCAGGAACTAAAAAATTGCACAATTCAATAAAATAAACATTTAAATTACGTAATTTCGTTTTTCTTATCTCACTTTTGCGGAACACATCCACGGTTCAGAACTTATTCCGATAAGAAGTATTTGGTCGCCTGAATTGAAATGGTCCAACATTTTCCCAACCTGTTTTTTCAACCGTTTCGGCTCGGTCTTATCGGTTTTGGGAACTTTCCTGGCGTACGTTTTTTCGCAGTTGTCAATTTTGATAACTAGTGGAGAAACTGCTTTCCCGACCTTGTCCACGAGGTGCATCAACATCTTTAACCCTTTCTTGCCTGGATATTTGCCTGGTTTAGATAAGAAACATTTATAAACAAGAAAGGAGTGTTATGAATACTTTATTTATTTATATGCATACCGACAATATTGGTTGCAGTAAGGTCAAACATGGTTGCATGCAATTCCGTGCAAATTGCATTGACAAAAGTATGTTTGCCAGATCCTTCCGGACCGCAAATCAAAATGGACTTGATGTGAGGGCTCATCGTGTGAACGTCTTTGGAACCCATTGGCAAAATACAAATGTCTTTAATTGCACGTTTTACATCTCCAAAAGTGGGCAACGGATTGGCATCGCCGGGCATGGGTCGCTCTTCATTAATCTTTTTTTCTCTCGCGACCATCGGATTTTGTTCGTGATAAGAACGAATCTCGCCATTGATAAGACTGCAAGATCCGATCAAGGTGTCCAAACGGACTTCCGGGTATCGTTTTACAATCCCGTTATCCACAAGTTCTTGGAATAAGAATTCCATCGGGGTGTCCTTGGTCATGTCTTTTCCCTTCTTTTTCTTCTTTTGCTCGCCCTCGGGTCTCTTTGGTCGGCGTTTGACTAATTAATTAATTTATGCTTAAAATAAGTTAGTTATCGGGTTTAATTCTTTCTGAAGAATTGATCCACCTTTCCTGGGTTTTCTTTTATTTCTCATCAAGGATAATGCAGACGCTGCGTTGGGGTCCTCCTCTCCGGTATCGGCAGCCTTGGCTAATAATTGTTTTTCACGTTAATTTCTGCCAATTTTAGATGCAAATTAGTGGATAGTATATTTTTTAATTACCTCGTTTCCCCTTTTTCCCCTTCTTTTTCTTATTCTCCAAAGCTTCTTTGAGAACCTTAAGCTCTGCAATTAATGCGGTATCGACCGCTTTCCGAACTTCGTCTCCAATCAATTGTCGCTTTTCGTGAATGATGAACTTTTCTTCATGTTTCTGTTCAGGATTATCTTTCTCGTCGCGACCACGCCATATCTTGTTGTACTCAATGTTGGAAGATATCATGTCGTCCATTGCAGCTGGAGGGTCAAGTTTAACGGTTAGATCAATAATTCCCTTCATTGCGTTCTTCTTTTCCTTGGCTTTCTTTGCCTTTGCCTTCTTTTTCTCTTTTTTACGCTCTGCCTTCTTTTTCTTGGCGTATTCCTTATCTGTCGCCTCGCGACCTTTCTCGAGCATCTGCAAAATTACGTGTAAATAATATTTGAAGGGGAAGGGGTGAGATCATGAACGAGGTATGTACCTCATCCGAGAGCTGGTTGGGGCAGATGAAAAATCGTGAACCGCCAGCTTCCGCTTTAGGAATCATTGCAGGTAACTTGCCCGTTTTTTCTTTGACGTCAAGCATCCAAGTTCTCAACTGATATTTGAAACGTTCTGCCATTTCAGGAGCTTCCAATAATTGCAAACGTTGTTGAATTGCGACTCTTGCTTCTTCGTAAATCGTTTGATTTCTACGTCTCGCTTGTCTCCTCCGTTCTTTCGCTTTTTCCAAGTCCTCTGCAATTTTTGTACATTTAATGTGAGCTCTATCAGCGGAAGACTGGTCCCCCGGGGTGGAAAATCGGAGGCCTAAAAGTTCCAACTCTTCGTCCCGCATTCGTTTAACACGTGTCCGAGCAAGAAATCCGCGGACAAGTTTCTGAATGATGACGACGGCTTTGTTAATGTCCATAGTCCGCTTTTTTGCCCTTTTTTTCTTCGTCAATGCACGCGCTTCTTCTTCCACCATGTACTTTGTGATTCGGTATCTGTTCCTTCCTTGACGTGCTCTATTATGCAAATAAGTGTGGCAATACTTAGAAAATTAGCTATATGCTGCTTATCGACATCACTTACCGTTCCATTGTTTGAATCAAAATCAGGAAACTGGATACGTCCATCGTCCTGGCGTGTTGGTAATGTTCGTGTCCCTCTTCATCCCCCATCAGCCATTTGTCTTCGGCCAACTGCTTGGCCTGCGCTTTGCGTTCGGCATCCAGACGGTCAGCTTCCTCTTGAGCTTTCCTCTTCTTAATATTTTCGAACCACTGGTCTCTCTGCAATGTTTGCTCGGAGGGGTCGAAAAAATAATACTTTGGAATTGGTATGTCCAAATCTTCTGGAGGAATCCGTTGGATGTAGCACAATTCGTCAAAGTAAAAGTATTCCGACTGCTCTGCTGCGACAAGGGCAGTTCTGATAATTGAATATAGTATAATTTGTTATGTAAGAAATATGTAATTAAAATATTAATGGGCAATAATATGAACTTACCTGATTTCTAAAACACGAGCAATTATCATGTCCAACAATCTACGGACGAGAATTCTCTTTTGGGGGTGGACCATCTGGTCGTACGTCTCATCGAGTTTCTTATACAGGAGGAGATACCTTTGAAAAATGTCAGACAAAATTGCAAACATTTTCTTCCGGTCGGGTCCAGTTAATGCGCCACGCCTTCGTTCTTCTCGCAACAAGTTACGCATATCCATCTGCGCCTCGGCCCATAAATTGTTGTAATATGTATGAGAAGTATATTTTAGTAATTTCATGGCCTGGTTTTTCCGTTGAGGACGAACAATCCCTCGCCGCATCTGAAGTAATATATAGAAAAATGATATTTATAACAGCTTAGATGCTCAAATAATGCCCATAAGTGTTCATTCACCTCCTGCGCCTTCAGCCATCGCTTGGAATGTTTCTCTTTGTCTACTTTAGGAATTTCTTTCAGTTTTTTGTAATCATCCGGAAGTTGGGCTGGTTTTCGTTTGAAGGCGCGTTTTTTCTTTTGGGGTTCTGCCACTGGTACCACGGAGGAAGATTGCGCTTGGTGGTCCTCTATTGCAAGGAGTAAGTCTGCATCAGGCAGGCCATCCATGAGGTCAGGTTCAGGCTCAGGTCCCGAAGCATTGGGTGATTCCATTGTTGCAATTGTTTGAGATCAATACATAGAAATTATTATCGACAGAAGAACTGAAGAAACAAGACGAGATGCCGATCCTGAGATCAAACCTATTTTTTTACATTCATGCGATTACATATTTACCATTTTTTGTTGTCATGCTAAAAAACGTTGACTCTTTACAGAAGATATAAGACGATGCAGATCGACCCCAGCCGACCTTATCAGCAATATTGCACTATGACATTGCAGGTGCGACTGTATTTACACGTAATATATGTACACCCATCTGAATACGTATTATAACCATCAATGCATAAATATTTTTATAATTCTGAATATATCATATTGATGTTCCACTTAAATTCAAGTTTAGAGAAAGTAATGTGGGGAAGATGGGTGGGGTGGTGGTCGTGCCATCATACATCTTATGTACATGCATATCACATTAATGACCACTGACTGATGGAGTATGAACATGTTGTTTTGTCGAATAAAATAAGTTTGAACATGAGAAAACTACTTCCACCCATTGTTGTCTGTAGAATATGTATGACCATACGTACAATAGTGACGGTAACCATTTGACACACTTTGCAAAAGTTATCCTACCACTTCCCCCAAGACCGACCCCAAAGCTTGTGTCGCGAAAAAACAACAATAAGGTGATGAAGTCACTGAACATGCCACGACAGAGTTCAAAAGACCCTGAACCTGACTTTGAATTGACTTTGAATTGAACAATCAGACTTCGTTCAAAGTATTAAAAATCAAAAGTGAATATTTGCACCTTCTTCATTCCGCAACAGCCACCCACAAGAAACAGAAAGTGTTTCTAAATAGTTAGTTGCACTTGGTTGAACTCTCCGTGGCAGACAGTTTGATAGTTAATTACGTTAGTATTATGGTTCGGAAGTGAATTTTTAATAAATAAAAGTTTTCTGTGAAGTGCAATTCCTCAAATTTTATAATGATATTAAAAATGGGGTTTCGTAGTTCGAGTATTCTTGTAGCTGTTGCTGCAATTTTTATAATTTCTGGTAAATTTAAAATTTCAAAATTTTTTATCATAATTTTTTTTACCATATTATTTAATGTTTCAGATTTCACCACTGTTAATTCTCTCTCACTTCCTCACCGATTCCTCCCTGGTCCTCCTCGAGGTCCTCGACCCCCTCAATTTTTCCCCCGTTTAGGAAGACCTTCCTCCAATTTGGATCGCCGCAGTTTGGAGGAGGACAGCGATGAAGACGAAAACGAAAGTCAGGCTCGAGTCGAACCCCAAATAACGCCACTAAATCGGGACGAATGCTTAGCAAAATTATTGTGCGGAATGAGCGTTCCCGTGACCGGCGGTGGTTCTCCAAAGAACGGATACTACTCGGAATATGCTAACATTGTGGCCAAATTTTTTGAAGCCTTCCCGTAAGTTCATAGTAAATAGTGCACGTACATTGTTTTTAGGAAATGCATACATAAGTCAATGAAATGGAAAGCGGTTTAAGTTCATTGCCAACAAAATTAAAATCGAAAGTATTTTTCAGTATAGAATTACATTGTGTGAAACATTGTAAAATACTGGTTTAAAACGAAGAGTTAGTCAGTCATTGGGTTAAAAAGGATGCAACGACGACAAAAATTCTTATAGTTTGTACAACTCAATGTAGTGTAAAAACCAGTTTTAAAGCAGTTTCCCATAACATAAATATTTTTCATGGCAAGTTCACCATAAGTGTGCATGTAGAAACCAATCACTTATTAGTACTTCCGACAGTCGAAGCATAATTGAATCAAGCAGTGGCATTTGGTGATGAATTTATTTCTGACGACTATTGCGGTAATGTTGTGGGGATGTCTATGTATTTCCTCGAAAGTGAAAGCCTTGCACAATTGGCAATGATTTTTTAAGGAAAGGATGTTTACGTACAGAGAGAATATTTACTTTCCAATATTCAGATTTCAACCCAAATAACGTATTAAATTATGGTCGCTGTTGCCTATCGATAATCACATATGCTACATAACATTTTTCTCCATGTATGCAGACTGGAAGAGGAGGAAAAAAGTGCAGAAAGTTTCGAGGCGTATAACGACTACAGCGTGGAAGAAGATGAAGGCAAAGCCAGCAGCAAACCTGTCCGACTTAATAGCAAACTGAGAAGGCCTGATGACCATCATAAATCTTCTTCTGACCATCCATTGTACTCCGCAGCCCCGGTTGCAGGTGGTCTCCAGCTCTTCGACCTCGCAATTATAAACCAGGCTAAAAATTCCTCCGCCGATAAGTCCGACGACGACGAGAGAAATGCTCGTCTTATTGATCTCGTAAGTGGATCTGTCGCTTTTTTCATGAATAATTTTACTTGAACATCCCATCATCAACATTATCATTACAATGAAGATTTATTACACTTCATTTCATTCTAATTTACTCGACTTGCAGAGAACAGCCCGAGCCCGAAAAATGGTGGCTAAACTGGGTGAAAAATTGCAGACGGTTCGTCAATGTCAACAGATTTCTGGTTGTCCATTTACTTTCAAGCAGTTACGAGCCTCGATAAAGTTAAAGACTGGTCCATCCGTCAGTCTAAATATCCGTCCATTAACAACAGGGTCTGCTCTTTCGTCCACGGCCACGTCGTCGTCGTCATTGTCATCATCTCCTCCTAAACCCAAGCCTAACGAGGACTCTGACCCACTTCCACCAGTTCCCCCAGTCAAATACACGTACAACACGAATAGCTACAGACCTCTGCAAAAAGCTAGGCCAAAACCAGCCTCGACCGAATTATCTCTCGGTGATCCTGTCATCGACACGGAGAAAGATACACACAAAGGAAATGATGACGAATTGGAGGAATTTTTCGGGCCTCCTCCCGTTTTTGGGTCTAATGGGAGACCCATAAGTCAGCCAAAACCGTCTTATCTTCGACCTCAAAACCCACTTCAGCAGCAGCAACAACAAATTCAGAAACTTCAGAGTGTTGATGTAGAATATGTTCCTTATCAACCACCCATTACGAGGGGTACAGGATCAAAGGCTAAAGTGCAGTCTGGGTCACCATTCCCCAAAAGGAAGCAGGTCGTGGGGTATAAAACTCCCACTTTCCAGATCAAAAGAAGGCCGGAGGGAGAAAATGATGAATTTGACGATGTAAACCTCTCCGCCGGACCGGTTTCCTTGATTGGCGGAGATCAACAACAACAACAACAGCAGTTCGAACATGCTGGAGTCCAATATATAATTCAAGATACCCAAGAAAATGTGAAGCAGCAGCAGCAAAAACCCAAAGAAACTGATACAGAAGACGATGACGACGGGTCAGATGAAGAGGACGATGAAGATGCAGAAGACGAGGAAGATGAGGATGCTGATGCAGATGACGTTGACGAAAAAGACGAAGAAGACGACGATGAGGATGAAGAGGATAAAGATGAAGAGGAAAAAGAGACGAAAAAGAAGAAAGCCACCGTCGCCCCCACCGTGAGTGCTGCAGAAGTCATTTCTGCCCCCAAAAAGAAAATCACGTCGTACAAGAATCCAAGCGCTGAATCTTTCGTCGTTATTGAAGAAGAATTCCCCACCAAGAAGAATGCGGAAGATGATGAACAAGATCACCCGGATAATGCATGGACCAAGTTAGCGTTCGCGACCAGCAGCGCACTCATCAAAGAACCAAAGAACAAGAAGAAAACAGAGTTGGAGGAGAAAAATGATGAGAAACTTAACCTGTCGACGGAAAAGAAGGGTTCTTCCGAGAAAGAGGACACCTCAGATGAGTCCAAAGAAGAAGAGGAGGAGGATGACCAGGAGGAGGAAGATGAGGAAGAAGAAGGTGAAAAATCATCTCGATCTCAACCAAAACCGGAAGATGAGAAAAAAACTAAGGATAAAGTTGAATCTCAAGATGACTCAGCCGAAGAGGAAAAATCAAGGAATCGACGCCCATCTAAGAAGTCGAAAAAGAACAACAATACGCCCAAACTGATCTTGAATGATGAAAATGAATTTGACCGAGTAACCTCAACTTTGAGCAGACCTGTAACATCAAAGCCAAAAAAGTCAACAAAAAAATCTTCCAACAAAGGCCGAGACTCGTCAAAATCGTCCAAGAAATCAGGTGATAAAAAGAAGAAATCTAAGAAATCTAAAAAATCCAAGAAACCCAAAGAAAATTCCGAGGAGGAAGTTAGAACCAAACCAAAGGCTCAGCCTCTCCTTGAAATTGGAGGCCGTCCCGTGGTCCCACTCCCAGAAAAAGAGTCACAACAGACCAAGAAAACAGGGGCACTAAGTCGTTTCAAGTTTAGTTTGGTACGACCCTTTGGCGTCCAAACGAAGGAAGAAGCAGCAGCCAACGCTTATCAGCAAACTACAAAATCGGACTACAAACCATCCTTACCGACCTATTCGTCGTCGCCATCCTCCTCCAGCTTTAAAAAACCATCATCCTCCTCACCTTCAAGTTCATTCAGAAGAGAATCCCTATTCGGCTCATCCAAACCTTCTTCTGCTCAGGATGACCACAAACAACAAAGTCATAGCTCATCATACCTCCCCACAATCTCGTTCGGATCGGGTATTAGCAATATGAAAATTGGAAATTCTCATGCCAATCCCTCTTCCGGATCGAGCTCTTCAAAAACCCCAGCAATGTACACGTTCCCCTTTGGCAGCCCATTTTCCACTTTAAAAACTTTGTTTAAGCGACCATCATCATCGTCATCACAGGATGAGGACATGGGTCACCAAAATGCCCCTCTCGTCCCAATTTCTGCATACATGCACCGACCTGCAGGTCCAGAATCGAATAACTTCAAGAGAGGTACTCCCCCTCATATTGCACAAGGATCGGACGAGGTAGTAACGTCTCATCAAAACTCGAGGAACCGTGGACGAACGGGAATTAAGAGTTCGAAAAAGAAGGATGGGGGTAAAAAGAAGAAAAATTATAAGGTCAAGCAGTCCAAACCTTCGGTATCGTCGCACTAGTTTAATTGCATATTTAATTATAAGTAATATTAAATCAAAGTAAATTATTATGCTCATTGTTTGTATTTACCATCTATTTATTTACACTATGAAATAAAGTAGCGTTTACATATTTTATATTTATTAATTGAAAATTACGATAGTATTTTTTTATTTATCAGTCATGAAAAAGTTTATACAAATAAAAAATTATACAAGTTTCGCAAGGTTTAGAATTACTTGGCAAATTGTATTTTCAAAACCAAATCTCTCACTCCAACCGTGTTCACATGTTTCATGCACAGATGAGGTGGCAACACAAAGACAAATTCTATCCGTTGACCATTAACTGATCCAATCGTATTTGGACCTTCGACGACTCCGCTCACACTGATTTCTATTTGTTGGCTTTGTTCTTCTCCCGTGGATGGGATTTTTTCAGAGCGTGGCTTTGCCTTGATCTGGTACTGGAGGGAACCTTCCTTAAGCTTATTCAGGTGAAAGTCCAAAGCGCGTACCGCTTTTCCTTGGGGTGGTTGCGTTGATGTCGGGTTCTCCCAACCGGAAGTCATGTATATTTGATAAATATGGAAAATGATGCCGTGCGCGTCAAAATTTACGGCAATGGACCGAGTCCCATTGATTATTCCAAGTGTTCCAAATCTTATGAGGAGATTTTCTTCTCCTTGAACTAAAGTGTTTTGGGGGACATTTTCGCTCTTGGGCAAGGTTTCGTTTGTTTCTTGCACGAGGTGTATTGGATTTGTTAAGAAATCGTCACGAGGGATTGAGATTCGGTATCTAATTTTTAGTAAATATTTGCGAATATTTGCGTTAGAATAATTTGCAAATCAAAAATGTAATAAGAAAATATTCTGTTCACCTTATTTGAGGCTCGTCCATACCCTGAAACATCAAAGGAGGACATTCTTGGAGAAAATGGACTTGTTGCTCCTCTGCAACGGTCACATTTTCTGACGCGTCTAGCGCTCTAGTTATTGCAGCCTCCACTCGCTGCTTAGCTTGTGCAGATCGAGTGGCCAAATTTTTTGAAAGATTGTGCAATTTCTGTCGATAAGTGTACTGCAAGAGGTCTGCAAGTAGATTCATCTCTCGACAAATGGTATAGGCGACCCTGTTGTAATCGAAGACATCGGCTGGAGGAGCACCACCTCCGTTTCCATATCCGAGTCGTTTTATCAGTGCGGCGTAAAGTTCCAATGTTCGGCCAAGATTTCGAAGAAGGGTTTTCACAGCGACGTCCGTTAGTTCGACTGGAGCCGTGGGGGCGCCTGGTTGAATTTGTGACTGCGATGGGGGCGCAGATTGCGAATTAATCGCCGGTGGAGGTGGCGCCGGAGTTCCAAGAGCGATACGAAAATTGTCCCAAGTTGTTCCCAAATTTCCTTGATGAGCAGCTAAACTTCGTCGAAGATCGGTCACTGTTGTGTACAAGCCAGGCTCGTTTCTCACCAAAACTTCAGCAAGACCTGGACCAATAATAACAAAGTTTTGGTAGTTTAAGAACTGTAAAATGAATTAATTAGGCAAATTAAAGTAATCACCGTTCAACGTCAAGCCCAACATAGTTTCGATGGATAATCTAATCTGCTCAAGATTTTCCTGTACAGTTCCTTGCGCCTCCTCTGCTGCTCTTTTTGGAACTGGCTGATCGTCGTCGATCTCATCTTCGTCGTCGTCATCGTCTGAAAGGGCTCGTTTTACGGGAACATTTTGAGTGGGTGGTGGCTCGAAAATGGCTTCGATATCTTCGTCGTCAGAATCGTCATCTACAACGATTACTATTGGAAATGCTGATGGAGGAGGGACTTCATCCTGTTGATCTTGCTGCTCTTCTAACTCGTCATTGTTGTCCATATCCTTCGGGCTAGGCGTAGTGGGTGTCGGTTCCGTTCTCTAAATGAGGAAATAAATAATTAATAAGTCCTGGTTCGGGCTAAAAATATCTAGTTAACGTTTCTAGTTAATTTACTGGATTAGAGGTCATGCTGCTACTCCATATACCCATAATTACGAATACATAAGCGGAAAAATTAATCAGGCAAAATGTGCACACTGAATGCGACGCGACATGTGAATTTTAGTAAGAATTCTTACAGAGAGAGGAGTGTTAGAAATTAAATTGTCATGATAGAAACGCGGATCAGTAATTTATCTGTTTCAAAAACTTCACCTTTTCACGATTTGTTGATTATGTCGATTGGTGGAATTTTCTGCATGCAATCACCTGTCGTTTGACTAAAGCCAACCACAACTTGCGACAAGTCTCGGCAAGTTTACATCGTCATGAACTCATTATTTACTATATACTAAAAATTTTGAACTGATGGTCAGCAACTATGCATCACGCTCGTATATTTATGTTATCAAGTTAAGAAATGACATTGCCATTGGTGATGGTAACATATTCATCTTGGGTCATTTCCTGTTGGTCATTTCTTGGGTAGCATTTTATCAAAAAGTGACGCCAAGTTCTGTCCGTAAAGTTGACATCAACCGACTAAATTATGCAAATGATACTTTCATAATTAATGCTTGTTTAACACCGTGGGTGGCAGAGAAAAATTATTTATTGACGATACAGGAATTTATTTTGAGAATAGCAGATTTTATTTTTATAAATAATTCTTATCATAACTGCAATTACTGTATACCATATGGAGCATGTAGAACTTTAATTAATTTCGAAGAAGTAGACTGGGCAAGATTGCTTGACTTTTAATATCTCAGAGCTTGTAGTGTAATGCGTGTGAGATGCTATTAAGGTAGCGTTGGCCATCGACACACCATTAACACCGATGTCGAAATCAGTCAGAGAGCAGGCACTGGAGAGTTACTATATACATGTCTTTATTCTCCAAGTAGCAGTTGGTGACTGACTGGGCAAGTGAGACGAGCACAGTCAGAGATACAGAAATATGAGACTTAACTATACTCTATGACATACCTTACACCACACCCCCCTTTCTAAGCTAAAGAAATCATTAATACATAAAGGACAAAAATCAATAAACAAAGGACATCAATTATAATCATAAATTCATTTCATATGTAAATCAAATGCATATTCATAACACTATCACTTTTCACATAAGAGACGTTGCACAGGCTTGACAACACGACCAGAACGCGTAACGTAGTTGCCATCATTCTTTGAAGCTTGATCCCGAGGTCGGCGATCTTGATTCTGTTCAGGTGGGTCCTTCGTATTTTGTCCATCGACAAATGACTGGGATGGGCAGTCCAAATCTGGAGCAGGCGTTTCGGGGAGATCATTCGTGTGAGCACGAGTCAGCGCCAAGGAGTTGCGTCAAAATTTTCCTCGCGGTGTGTCCACAATGAGAGAACGCGGAGCATTAGCATTCTCCAACACTTTTCCCCAGGTTCGAAGGTCTTTAACCCAGACAACTTCTTCAGGTTGGAGGTCTTCCTTCGGCTGGACACGATGATGAGAATCATAGTCCTTCTTCTGTCTTGACCGTCGCAGCTCTTCTTTCGACTTGAGGTCTTCGTTGTCCACTGAGATTGGCACAAGTCGAGTTGGATTCATTGGTAGTAGAGATCTGATCCGGCGACTCATAAGCAAGTCGCTTGGACTGTATCCATTCGCGAGAGGAGTTGCTCGGTACTCTAGGAGCGCAGCGTACCAATCCGAATTTTTCTTGAGCAGATTTTTCACAATCTTCACTCCAGCTTCTACAAATCCATTGCTTTGCGGGTACCTCGGGCTTGAAGTTGTCGCAATGAATCCCCATTCACGAGAAAATTTGCGGAATTCCGACGAGTCGACAGGAGCAAACTGAGGTCCATTGTCACTCATTACTTCTTCAGGTACACCATGGCGAGAGAACACGGCTTTACAGCAATTGATGACACAACTTGCTGTTTGATTAAGCAATTGGTATACTTCCGGATACCGAGAATAGTAGTCTGTGATGATGATGAACCACTTCCCATGAGATTTGAAGAGGTCCATTGCAACGCGCTGCCAGGGTCGAGATGGGAATTCCGACGGAATCAGAGGCTCATGTCGCTCTCCTCTTTCCTTCACGCAGATTGGGCACTTCCGCACTACTTCTGCAATTTCCTCAGAAATTCCTGGCCACCACACAGATTCACGGGCACGGGCACGACACTTCACTACTCCCATGTGACCAGCATGAAGTCGTCCCAAGAGCTCCTCTTGCATCGACGAAGGGATGACCAGTCTGCATCCTTTCATGAGGAGTCCGTTGCTGATAGACAGTTCGTATCTTGAATTCCAGAACTTCTTCAGATCAGCATTCACTGGTGTCTTCTCTGGCCAGCCTTGGTGGCAGAGGAGAGACACTTCTTTCAGCAGTGAGTCTTCAGTTTGAGCTTTCCAAATCCGACTCAAAAATTCATCTCGTACAGGCAGTTGAGAGATGATGTGACACACGTGGGCCACCACTTCTTCTTCGAATTCCACATCTCCTTTGTGGTCTAGCGGTTGTCGACTCAGGGTGTCTGCAGTGTAGAGTAATTTTCCAGGCACGTACGTCACGTCGTAAGAGTATCTCATCAGGCGTAGACGAAAACGCTGAAGTCGTGGAGAGAGATCATCCAAATTCTTTGAGACGAGAATTTGTAGTAGGGGTTTATGGTCGGTCTCGATCAAGAAATGAGAACCGGCCAAAAAATCTCGAAATCGTTCGCAGCCCCAAGTACTGGCAAGGGCTTCTTTCTCGATCTGTCCGTACCGTTGCTCAGCATCGGAGAGAGTACGGGAGGCGTAGGAAATAGGTCGGAGTTCACCGTCGTCTTGGCGCTGGAGTAGACACGCACCCATTCCGTAGGAACTGCTGTCAGCCGACACGACAGTCTCCTTCTTCACATCAAAAAGAGCGAGAACTGGCTCTTCAGTCAGGATTTTCTTTATCTTCTGAAACGCTTTTTCTTGGGTTGGACCCCACACGAACTCATTCTTGGCTCGAAGCAGGTCATTCAGGGGCTGGCTCACATCCGCCATTCTGGGAACAAATTTTCCTAGGTAATTGGCCATACCCATAAATCTTCGCACACCCGGCACATCCGTGGGTCTTGACATTTTGGCGATTCCCTCCACTTTCGCAGGGTCAGGGCGAATCCCACTCTCGTCGAGGAGATGACCAAGAAACTTGACGGTGGTCACTCCAAACTCACACTTGGCTGGGTTGAGGGTGACTCCTGCATCCCTCAGTCTCATGAGAACGTCACGAAGTCTTGCGTCGTGCTCCTCCATCGTCTTCCCCCACACTAAAATATCGTCATGATGCACTACACAGATTCGACCGCGAAGAATCTCTGACATCCTCTTCTGGTAAACTTCCGGCGCTGAGGTGATCCCAAACGGTAATCTCTTGTAGCAATAGCGTCCAAACGGGGTTAGAAATGTAGTCAGTCGTCTCGATTCAGGTGAGAGGACAATCTGGAAAAATCCACTATTTGCATCCAGTTTCGTAAAGTACTTGGCTCCAGAGATCTGGCCAAGCGTGTGCTCAACAACAGGCATCATGTGAAACTCTCGTTCAACATTCCGGTTGAGTTTTGTTAGATCAACACAAACTCTGATGTCACCATTCGACTTCGGCGCAATGACGACAGGAGCACACCATTCGGTCGGTTCATCCACAGATTCGATGACGTCGTCGCGGAGAAATTCATCAATCTTCTCTTTCAGCTTGTCCATTAGTGGGAGTGGCACCCTCCTTGGGCAGTGGATCACGTACGGAACCGCATCGGGTTTGAGCTTGATCGTGTAGGGGTGGTCAATTTTTCCAAGACCCGAGAAGAGCATCGGAAACTCCTCAACGTGGGCAGGATTTTCTGTTGACTTCGGCACCTCATCAGTCCACACTCGATCAACTCGTCGAACAAGATTCAAGTCTTCACATGCTCGCAGTCCTAGCAGTGGTCGCTGCAGCCCTCGAATCACATAAACAGTTTCATTCACTTTTAACTTTCCATGGCTCAGTTCACACATAAAACTTCCCACAGAATTCAGAGATGATCCATCCGGTCCATTCAGTGATCGCGTCGGATGATCCAATTGGCGAGATTTCCACTTTTGACGGAAAAGAGTGAGTGGAATCACGGTGACGTCAGCCCCAGGGTCGAGCTTGAAGAGGATTTCGGCGTTGTCCACCTTCACCAGGGATGACCAGCGAGAGTCACGCGACTGGGCTGTTTCCAAAAACCCGATGGTTCTGATGGATCCAACAAAACCACCTTCACGATCGCGCACTTCACCGTCCACATAATTCACTTTAACAGTCCCCTCTTTACTTTTGCACAGTTTAGAGAAGTGATTTTTCTTGCCGCAGGTCTTGCAATCCTTCCCCCATGCTGGACAGACTTCCTTCTTCATTTCATGGGTCCTCCCACAAAACTTGCAGTTCTTGGAGGAGTCGGACGACGAAGATTTTACAGACTTCGTCTTGGAGTTGGGCTTCTTCTCCTTCTCTGGCTGGGCCCCAACCCTTGCAAGATTAGTAGTAGTAGTCGTTTCGCCACGAAGATCTCGTTGCTGCCTCTTCACGGTCTCATGCTGACGGGACATCTTCACAGCTTTCTCCAGAGTGAGCGACTCGTCCAACTGCATCTTCTCGGCCAGATGACGATCACGCACCCCAACAACAATTCTGTCACGAATCAGTTCGTCCTTCAACTGCCCATACTCACAGTATTCAGAAAGTGAGTATAGCGAAGTGATAAACTCGTCGACACTTTCTCCGTTCTCCTGAACGCGAGAATTAAAACGCGAACGCTCATAGATTGTGTTCCGTTTAACGATGAAGTGAGCTTCAAACTTGGCGAGGACGGTGTCGAACTTCTTCTGGTCGTCACTGGAGAGCCCAAATGATAATAAGATATCATCCGCCTGGTCGCCCATAAAGTAGATAAGAGAGTTGACTTGCTCCACTTCAGTCTTGTTGACTAGGCCAGAAGCGATCCGGAACCTTTCGAACCGACGTTTCCATCGAGGCCAGTCTGAGGGAGACGAGAACGAGAATTGCTCAGGTGGGCACACTTGAAACACTGACGCTTTATCTGCCATCTCTATGCGCAGAGTAGTATTATAGTTCAATGTGCAGACACCGCAATAAACTTCCCCTCACAGAAATCACTGATAAGTCACCTTTTCGACACGACGGGAGTTCTGACCCGCTGCCACCATGTAGTGTAATGCGTGTGAGATGCTATTAAGGTAGCGTTGGCCATGGACACACCATTAACACCGATGTCGAAATCCGTCAGAGAGCAGGCACTGGAGAGTTACTATATACATGTCTTTATTCTCCAAGTAGCAGTTGGTGACTGACTGGGCAAGTGAGACGAGCACAGTCAGAGATACAGAAATATGAGACTTAACTATACTCTATGACATACCTTACACCACAGAGCTATTTGAGAAGGTGGGGA